AAAGACTCCCTATTTGCCTAACAGACTGCGTACGTTCTGATAGTGAATAGAAAAAAATTTAAGTAGCAGGGTCAGTAATTTTAGCATTTTTATGCAGGTCCTCGTATGCTCAGGCGATCAATGGTTCAAGTTCAAGATTTAGATAGCAAAGAGTCAGGGAGGAGAATTTTTAAGGAGATATTTCGCTCGTATAAAAAGGTAAATTTGGTCACACAAATGTCATTAAGCGAAGCGTTAAATTTAGAACAAAGATGTTTGATCCTTCGTTGTAGCGTCAGTTACGAGGGATGCTATTTATATTTCGGAAATTGGCAATACTAATGTCAATACTTAAAACCTGACAGCGCCATAATAAACTTTGTCATTTTTAGCACATATGTACGTACAACGTTTTTATGAACAATTGGTTTTTGTTTTGTTTACAATCAGTTAGAAAATCAATTTGGCAATACAATGGAAATTTCTCGAGAGGTTTTCGTTGGATTATTTTTCAAAACTTTCGACGTGTATTTTATCCTAACAAGAATGTGTCGATGAACTTAGTTCTTTATATGGCGAGAAAGAAAGCACTATCAAAAGCGACAGGCTATCGCTGGTTTGCAGAATTTAGTCGTGGTCTTAGTTTAGTCGATTAAGCTTAGTCCGTTCGTCCAAAATCAGTTGTGCCACAAAACATCGATGGTGTGCGTGAACTGATAGTGCAAGATCATTTTTTTGCATTTCATGCATTTTGCATGAGCACTTAGTTGTAAAAAAGATTTATTCTCTTTTCTTACCCCATAACCCATACCCAATATCAATCGTTCAAAAAAAGGCTCGCGCCGATTGGAGTAAGAAAATGCTTAAAAAGTTCGGCTGTGGTGCTTCAAAAGACGTTTATAAAATCGGGATAGGTTATGAATCATGTATATATGCGTATGAGCCGAAAACTAAACAGCAATCGTGTGGGTGTTCCAAGATGAGCCAAATCCGACGAAATCTGTACGAGCACGAAGCACTTTGAAGCAAATGTTTCTGTTTCTTTGGGAGAATGGGTCATGTCGCAATTGTTCCGCTAGAACACGAATCATTCTCCATCATGACTCATTGATGAATTGATGACTCATTGAAGAGTTTAAAAACCATATTTTGGCGGTGTCTCAAGAGGAAGGGAAAAACTGCTAGCAATGGTTCGAACGAATGCAAAAGTGTATTGATCATCGGGGGGAATATTTTGAAAAGCAACAAAGTCATTTTCATTAAAAAGTTTTGGTTTTTATTAGCTATTCTCGAAATATAAATAAAAGCCCTCGTATAAGACGGAAAACAAATATTGCCTTTACGATTGACTTCAAAATGGCAGCAGATGCAGTAGCCGGAGTCAGAGCACCATAATCGATCATCGCCGGTAAGGTCATTGGAGGAACAGGTGGATCCGGGACTGCAAGCGAATTTTAGATATTATTTTAAGGCACATTATAGTTAACCTTCTTTCTCTTTAGATACTTAGCTAAAACTTTAAGGTTTTTAAAATGAGATTCCATGGAGATAAACTTATCTTGCAGCATCCGGATTCCAGAGTGTACAACAGCGAGTTCCGAATGAGTTTTTCTCATGAAAATTCGCATGTAACCTTCAATATTCCTGCAGTCGCAACAAGTCCAGTTGACAACGCGACCACCAATATGACCAAAATCCGCACAGCTAGCGTAGGCCGTGTTGTGACATAACCAGCAGAAACTCATTGTAAAATAATATAAGCAATAAATATAAAAAAATAAAAAATGAAAAAAATAAAGCGAAGGAAGGTGAAATATAAGTCGGTTTAAAGTATATCACATATGTTCAGTCGCAGAAATATACATACATACATAAGTAGTAGTACGAAATGCATATGACACTGATATCGAATTAATAAAGTTCACCCATTTAAAAATAACACCTCACGCCACAGCACAATTGCACAGCTGACAATAAAAGTAGATTAAGTTCATACCAATAACAAATTAATTAATGGAATTACCACGATCTTATAGACATAGCACTTTTTGTACGTTTTATTGCCTATAAATAGAATTAAGTGTGTTGAATAAAGTCAGTATAAGAAACAGTACCACAACTGCCTGTCACTCGTCTTCCATCGCAATCATCAGAGGCTGTCGCCATGTGTTCAGGACCTCAATTATGTACGGTATATAACCCAGCTTCCTACATAAAAACACACATTTACAGCAGATGTATACAGTACAGTAGATAATTGGTATTGTACCAAAGGATACGGAAAAATTCATGGTCGGAGTAATTAGAAAGACAGAGTGGAAGATGAAGAGGAAAGTAATGCCTAGTAATGCGGGACCGGATAGAATACTAATTACATAAATACTATACTACAATTACTAATTACGATAGACGCATGTCAATATTAGTAATTTAATAAGAGGAAGGGAATTAGTGGTAGATATAATCTTGTAGAGGGAAATATAATCCGAGCTTTGAACCCTAAAAGGAATAATTCGATCTACAACGTGGTAGGGACAACGGTACATAGTTTCAAGTTGTTCAGGGCTGCAGCAGACAATTGCCTCGCACTGTGCCAATACCGTGAACTCCGGTCCCACATCGATCACGAGCGCTCGGAAGATCCACAATCTAAGCTAAGTTTTAGTTTCGCACCCACCCCCGTTTTAACCGGCCGCGGTACCTCCACGTTACACATAAATGCCCTACGAAACCACACGCAAATAAATGAATATATGAAGATTATTGGAAGAATGAATGAATCTAATAGGAATCGTGAAGTTTATGCGGCACAACAGATGAGGGCTATCTACGTCACCATTGGTCAAGTTGTGCACAAAAATCACACCAAGGTTTACTAATAGCAAACTACTACAGTAAGATGACATTTTCGCACCCACATCCCAGCTAAGCCACCGAAGAGCAAAAAATAACGAGGGGGGACGTTGTGAGTTGCTGCGGACACCGCAACTCTACAGTTATACCCGATACTAAGTCAGTATGGCTCTCCTCCGGCAGACGCCGCTAATATTAAACGACACGACAAAGAGTGCGTGCGAGAGAGACAGAAAATCAGTCTGAGCGTGACGTCGGGCGTTGCGTAGCCAGTGTAAATTGATTTCTTCCTTTTGGCCAGATCCAGATTCAGCAACCGGATAGATATGGTCATTGTCTATGACTCTGCGTTTTTAGTTTTCTCGCATCTGCAATATTGTGGATGCAACAGATTTTCGTCTTTTGTGGGGCGAAATTTTGAGATATACGTTTTATAGCGAGATCTAACAGGAGTGCGGTTACCAAATTTGGTTACTCTAGCCTTAATAGTCTCTGAGATTTGTGGATGCCCCAGATTTTCGTCCTTTGCGGGGGCGGAAGGGGGTGTGGCGAAATTTTGACACAAAACGGTCAAGGTCCGATATCACAGGAGTGTGGATACCAAATTTTGTTGCTCTGGCTCTTATAGGTTCTGAGATCCTTGAACTCATATTTTGCAATTGGCCAAACCGACCATGAAACCTGTGTGTTAGAGAGAGACAGAGCGAGAAAGAATGAAATTGTTTTCTTGATTCTGGCTATAATAATTATACGATCTGGTTCAGATTTTGCACTCTAGAAGATATAGTCATCTTCTAGGATTCTGAGTTTTTAGTTTTTTCGTATCGTCGAAATTGTGGATGCCACAGATTTTCGCCCTTTGTGGGGGCGGAAGTGGGCGGGGCGAAGTTTTGAAATATTTTTGTAGCAGTGACATATCACAGAAGTCTGGATCCAAGACTTCTTTGCTCTAGCTCTTATAGTCTTTGAGCACTAGGCGCTGAAGGGGACGGACAGACAGACGGACAGACAGACATGGCTCAATCAACTCTGCTATTGATGCTGATCAAGAATATATATACTTTATGGGGTCGGAAACGATTCCTTCTGGACGTTACACACATCCACTTTTACCACAAATCTAATATATCCCAATACTCATTTTGAGTATCGGGTGTAAAAAGTTATTCTGTACTGATTATATACGGTCGTGGTTTACTTTGTACTGAACGCACCATACACAGGAGCCGTATCCCAAGATCGAACGAACTGGCGAGGTTAAGAGTCTTTGTTATATATTTCTTTGACCACCTCTTTATAGAAATGTGTTCAGAAAACTTTTACTTGGCGTCTAATATAAAACCAAGATCATCTACCAAGTTAATTTTCTCAATCCACTGCAATCCACTCTAACAAATACGTGGTGGTTGATAGCCGAATTATAAATCCATGCTGAGTTGGAGATATGAGTGACTTTCAGAGATTTTGCAAGTTCGGAGAAGAAGAATCGATGGATAGGGTGAATAGTTTAAGCAAGGGTCCATACAGAGCCGCGGCGCAGTACATGATGGCCCGGACAAGAGAAACATAAAGTAGTTTAGTGGTATAACGGTCATTAAATTCCTGAGATAAATCCAAATGGTTCTTGGTTTTATTAAAAGATTTTAATAAAACCAAGAACCATTTGGCTTTATTGGAAATAGCAGATATATGGGAACTGAAACCTAAAAGAGGTACAAAGTTAATTACCACGTCATTAAATTTGTACAGGTGTTGCAAGAAAATGATATTGATTAAAAAGTCAAAAAGGAAAGGCTTGTTGTGATGGGCGTTTTGACGGTCATGACGTTAAATTTGGTTATGTTAAGAGGAAGAGCGTTAATAATACACCAATTATTGAGAGCGTCGAGATCCGATTGAAGAAATAACGGGGACACCAGATCACTATAGGAAAGACATAGCTTGAAATCGTCAGCATACATTAGGACTCGGGAATGAGCTAAAACTTTGGGGAAGATCATTGATAAACAGGTTAAATAATAAGGCACCAAGATGGCTACCTTAAAGCACCCGACTTAATATCTCTATATAATCCGGCATGATATCCCAATATTCAGCCAATTCAATATTACTTTGCCTATATATAAGATACAGTTAACTTAATGTACGGATTAAACAAAAAAACTTACCATGCAACAAGCCGGAATTCGAATAGTTCCGGACCAATTATAATATAGGAAACAAAGTTTATAGCTTAATTTTTGAATTATATCCGGTCCATATTTAGCATCATCTTGTAATACGATGAAGTGAGTTGGACTGACTGTACCTTGTCGCACCAATTGAGAAACTAAGAAGAAATCGTACATATGCGCTCTAGTTATGTGTTCATCAACCAAGGTTCCAGGCAATGGATTGTCCAATTGATTTGCACTTCCCTAAAAAATTATATACAAATTTGTTAATAAAAATTATAAAATACGTATAATTGATGCTGTAAGACAATTAAGGTAATTGAATTTCACAAACATTTTTAAAACTAATAAAATTAATATAAAATAAAAATTATTGTCTTCATTTTTATAATGTTTTTTTCCTAAAATATTTTTTATGCTTACAGTTTTTAGCATTCTTTGTGGTGTTTATTTAAAAATATCTAGACTTGTCTAAGCTAAGACAAGCTAAGCAATATTTTTGTTATATTTTTAACATCGCGTCAACGAATTTTTTTGCCAATTTGTATCTGGTGCAAAAATGTGTATAATTTTCACAAAAAAAGGAAATGGTTGAAATAAATTGATTTCGATAAAGTCAAAGGTACGCACAATGAAATAAGTGGAAGGTGGTTTATTTGCTTTATTTTTTTGCCTCAAAACATACACGTAATCAGAACTCAGAAATTTGATGTCTGCTTCACATTTAAACAACAAAATAAAACTAATTCAAAAATAAAATACAAAATTAAAAAAAAAAATCATAAAAACATTCTGTTTTACATACTACACGTATATTAGTTCGACGATATTAGTTCCCACTTAAATTTAGCTCAATTACGCGAGGCTTTGGACAATTTAGTGAATTCTCCTCTTTTGATACGAAATTTATGTCCATTGAGTCAATAAACGCTTTCGAATGTATGTACATTTATTGGAAAGTTAAAGCGAAAGTATTTTTGTTGTATGTATGTTGCTTATATGACGATCGGCGCAAAACAGCCCAAGGGCACGGGGATAGAATTGTCCGTGCCCTTATAAAAGTGAGAGAACGAAAAGAAGGATAGAAGGAAAGCTCTCGAGCAGCTTGGGCTTAAGTTAAGACGAAGTACGGGCTATATCCCAATCCAATGGTGAACCTCGAGAGTTTTCTTTCTCCCAAAGGCAGGAAAGTGGAGCATTGTTGTCCCAATGACTACAGACCGATAAGCCTTACTTACTTTTTAATAAAAACAGTGGGAAAGCTGCTGGACATACACATTAGGAATTAGGTAAGAGGACTGAAGTCAACTAAACGGAATGCTTACACCAAAGGGAAATTGGTGGAGATGGCACTGAACTCGTTAGTAGTTGTTAAAAGGAACGCTCTTCACAATAAATAATATGCACTAGGAGAATTTTGTAAAGTTTCCCGAGCATTTAACAACGTGGCTACGAAGGCAATAACAGATCGCCTAGAAGCGACCAACAATCAACCTGTGGATAAAGAATCTTCTAAGTTGTAGACGGGTGCATTCGGAGTGGGACAACACTTCCATGCTAAAAGGCGCACCGAAGGCACACCTCAGGGTTAAGTCCTGTTGCCCCTCCTGTGGGATCTGGTGATCGTCAACCTAATCAAGAGATATGAAAGGAAGGGCCAAAAAATAACAGCGTATGCAGATGACATAAGCATACTTAATGGAACGTACACTCAGGGAGATACCTGAGTGGGCGGAAAGAGTAGGACTGAGTATCAACGCAGACAAGACGGACCTCAACCTCTTTACCAAGTGGTACAAGGTACCGATATGGACCCCCCGAAAACACAAGTTTAATACCTGGGCACAGTTCCGGACAGTAAACTGCAACGGAAATGTAGTGGAAAGGATGAAAAAGACCACTATTGACGGGCTGCTAGTAAACAGAAACTGTAACCCTACGGTGCTGTTATATGCACGATATGTGACAAAGCAGATTGCAAATTACGGCTGTGTTCCTTTTCTACGTGGCAGACGGATTCAAAGTTTAACGATCAGGAATCTTAGTGAACCTGGGAAAAAGAGTCTCGAGAAATATCATCAGGAATCTGTGTGAGTCTGTCGATATATGCATGTATATACAAATATCTTGTGTGTATATGTAGCGTCATTGTGAAATACCTACAAATCAATTGTCTAGCTTGCACACTTGCAAAAGGAATTTCTTGTGCGTGCAGCTTAGAAGCAAACAAAGTCATTGAGATAGAGACAAGCCAGGAAAATGGTAAAAATAGCAGACCTTAAGGGGGACCAGTTGAGGTTCCTTATACGAGAGAGGAACTTGGCACTTTCTGGGTCCAGAGCCGAATTAATACAACCACTAATTGAGTATGAACGAGGGGGAACGTTGTGAGTTGCTGCGGACACCGCAACTCTAGAGATATACCCGATACTAAGTCAGTATGGCTCTCCTCCGGCAGACGCCGCTAATATTAAACGACACGACAAAGAGTGCGTGCGAGAGAGACAGAAAATCAGTCTGAGCGTGACGTCGGGCGCTGCGTAGCCACTGCAAATTGATTTGTTCCTTTTGGCTATAAAAATGATCCGATCTGATCCAGATTCAGCAATCTAATAAATATGGTCGTTATCTATGATTGTGGGTTTTTAGTTTTCTCGAATCTGCAATATTGTGGATGCAACAGATTTTCGTCCTTTGTGGGGGCGGAAGGGGGTGGGGCGAAACTTTGAGATATACGTTTCATAGTGAGATCTAACAGCAGTGCGGATACCAAATTTGGTTACTGTAGCGTTAATAGTCTTTGAGATTTGTGGATGCACCAGATTTTCGTCCTTTGCGTGGGCAGAAGGGGGTGTGGCGAAATTTTGATATAAAATGGTCAAGGTCCGATATCACAGGAGTGTGGATACCAAATTTTGTTGCTCTGGCTCTTATAGGTTCTGAGATCCTTGAACTCATATTTTGCAATTGGCAAAACCGACCATGAAACCTGTGTGTTAGAGAGAGACAGAGCGAGAAAGAATGAAATTGTTTTCTTGATTCTGGCTATAATAATTATACGATCTGGTTCAGATTTTGCACTCTAGAAGATATAGTCATCTTCTACGATTCTGCGTTTTTAGTTTTTTCGTATCGTCGAAATTGATGATGCCACAGATTTTCGCCCTTTGTGGGGGCGGAAGTGGGCGGGGCGAAGTTTTGAAATATTTTTGTAGCAGTGACATATCACAGAAGTCTGGATCCAAAACATCGTTGCTCTAGCTCTTATAGTCTTTGAGCACTAGGCGCTGAAGGGGACGGACAGACGGACGGACGGACAGATGGACAGACAGACGGACAGACATATATGGCTCAATCGACTCGGCTATTGATGCTGATCAAGAATATACATACTTTAAGGGGTCGGAAGCGATTCCTTCTGGAAGTTACACACATCCCCTTTTACCACAAATCTAATATACCCCAATACTCATTTTGAGTATGGGGTATAGAAATCGGAAGACGTAGATATGCCGCAAGGAGCTGGAATCACTAGTCAACATGAGGAGACGCTGACGTCACAATCCGCTGCGATTTCACGTATGCAAATCGAAATGACGGAGCTGAAGAATATGTTGGCTCAGTTGGTTACCATGCAAATGCATAATGCAGAGGCAACAGCTAGTCAGCAGCAGCAAATCACAGAAGAGGATACCCAAGAGATTTTCCACGACAATAGCCCTGGTGAACAGGCGATCAAAAACGTTAGGCAAGCATCGGTCAAAGGAATAGCAAACACCTTGCCAGAGTTTGACCCAAGCGACGATAACGCCATCTCCGTTAACCAGTTCATCGATAGTGTCAACAAAGTAGTTGATGCTTACCAATGGGACGAGAAATTTGTATTGCTAGCGATTTATACACGGCTCAAGGGTCCGACTCTTCGCCGGTTCTACACACCACGTGGAACAACTTCGCTGCAGCCATACAAGACGAGTTTGAATCTAACCTAGACGAGGCAGAAGTTCACTTTAATATGGCTAATGCAACCAGACGATCGAAGGAAACAGTGAAGGAGTACTATTTCCGGATGTCCGCCCTTGGCGTGAGGTACAAACTTAGTGAAGCAGCTGTAATAAGATATGTTCGATCAGGTCTACAGCACCGCGAATTGCAAAACAGTATTGCAGCAATGCACTTTTCGACTATGAAGCAGTTTCGTGATGCAGCTGAGTCTTATTTCGAAAATAGAGGTCGGCCAATTGCGAACAAAAAGGAATTCTTATCAAAAGGCAACAACTTCGAGACAAAACAGGACAACGGTGTAAAGCCAATAAAACCGAACGAAGTTCAGAAGTGCTACAATTGTGGAGAAGTGGGGCATTTCGCTAATTCATGCCCCTGTACCAAATGCAACAAATTCGATGCCCCCAATGAAAATTGCCAAGCTAAAAATGTATTGCGTTTGGGCGCCTCGAATCAAGACAACATATTTACCAGGCAAATCTACATAAAGTCGTGCAGCTATAGCGCCTTCAGTGATACTGGAAGTCAGGCTAGTATCATGCGCCAGTCAGTTGCCCAACAAATCAACGCTGATCGCCAAAGGTGCTCTATGAAAATACAAGGCATTTGTGGCGGTTCTTGTATCCTTACCGAAGCAATGGTTGTGGATATGGACATCGATGGAAAAATCATTGCAGCCAAAGTATACGTAGCAGACGACGATCTCTTGCAGGAGGACATCCTGCTGGGACAGGACGTCATCATTAGTGCTCTTCTATCGCTTAAGTTTGAGCCAGGCGACACGAAAGTTAAACGAGCAGTTCATCAGCTCTTGAAAACGACATCATAGCTAACCAACTTCTTGTTAATTTTCAGATCGATCAAGAAAGAAACCAAATGCGTAGCTTGCTGGAGAAGTTTGCCAATGTTTTTTCTACGTGACTTCAAGGCATAGGCAAAACAAACATCGTTCAAGCCAATATCATCGTTGAGAGTGGTTTCTCAATCGCCATACCGAGTTGCCGAGCCAAAGAATAAAATTGTGAACAGAATGGTCGACGAGCTGTTGGATTACGACATTATCACCTCATCCACATCAGAGTACGCCAGCCCGGTGGTACTCATCAAGAAGCCAAACGGTAGTGATCGACTCTGTATTGATTACCGCCGCCTGAACAAGCTAATCAAGAAGGAAAATTTCCCAGTACCAAATATTGAGGAGCGTCTGCAAGAGGCAAAGCGGTTTAAATACTTTTCGT